AAGAAAACTTCCAACTTCCATATATTTGCAGAACAGCCTGCTTCCTTAAGAAACCTTAAGGAACCCCTTAAGGGTTATACCCATGAACCAAAATCAGTTTTCTCTCATTAGAGGAGCTCTACCTAACCAAAGCACAGTAGGAAAAAAATCTAAATTTGTTTTTACTTAAACAGCAAGTCAGAACTGGGATGGTGTTAAGACACATGTAGTCCAGCTGCTTGCCATTTACAATCTTTGCTGATGGTACAAAAGCCAGCTGTGCAGGGAACCCAAATGAAGCTGAGAGAGGGGGAGGAATTGAAAGTGTACTTAAAACCAAACAAAACTATTTAAAGTAAACATTCATTACACTTTAAAGAGGGAAAAAAAAAATAATCACATAAACCTAGCAGATTCACACCAAAACCAAGAGAAACCAAGTTACTCAGGAGGTAGTACAACATACTCAGGGTCAAGAGAACAGCACGCAGAATAGCAGAAAAATAAAGCGTAACCGAACAATCCTTTGGAAATGTCCCACCTGAGATTACATTAATGCAGTAAATACACAGAGTGAAGCACAGCTTTTGAAAAGACATAAAAGAAACTAATCTCAATCTTACCCTTAAGTGATAGCAGAGGTTAATTTAAACAAGCAGCAAAATAGGAGTAGGGGGAAGGAAGTGGTTAGAGGTTATTAATACAAATGATCAAAGTACACACTAGGTCAACACAAGCTACTGTTTTCACCTCAATAAATGAAATCTAACCCAACTATAATGTAACTCTTGGGAAAACGCCCACTGTAATAGTACAAAAGAATAGCAATTGTCTTAAGGACTAAGAACTGAACTCTTGAATTCTAATTATACTTGTTTATTAGAGTCTCCTGAATCCAGGCCCACCCAGCATGTGCCTGACTCAATTGCTATCTGAAACAAAGGCAAAACCAGAATATCGCACAAAATGAGAAAACATAAAAGCAGAGAACAGATTAACACTAACGTCTTCAAAGCGTTGTATGGAATGCTCAATAAATGCAAAAGAACTCCATTATATATATTGAGGACAGGAGAGAGAATATCTGTCCCTCTATCAGATTTCTCCCACTGAAGTTCCTTGCACTGTGCAATGCATTTCCAAGTGAAAATTTAAGACCTTTAATTTCTCCAGCCTCAAGCACAGTAGAGCAGTCCCTCTTTATATCCTTCCAGGAACTTGTTAACACCAACTCCAGCACAGTCCTCTGGCTCTCCTATAGCAACATCCTCCCTGCAAACGTTTGCTCCAACATACTGAATCAAATCCTCAACTGGAGCTAGACCCAGTCCTCAAAGGCTGCACCTGTATATCCTTCATCACACATCTCTAGGATGCTCATCAGCCATGCAGCATTTGTCAGTAGTGGTTGAGCCTCAACACCTTCTCTCACACATATTCCTAAGGGCTTGGAAGCCTGCCAGGATGATCAGTTTCACCTCACTTTATTTAAGAAGGTAAATCGTTTAATAACACTTCAAGTTATGAAATGTGTTCTACTACTTCGTCACAGGGCAGCCCACATCAGGAACCGACCTCATAAAAGCTACCCAGGACTCAAAGAGGCAGTAGAAGTTTTCTTCCACTGGTCTTGCAAGGGTTACCAAGAAAGACTCAAGGGAAACTAGTCCTTTCACTCTAGAGAGCTTAATCTTTTCAGATGTCAAGGCTTTTGAAATGACTCTCAACCATTCAACTGCTCTACTAGTGCTTATCCTCAAAATGACACACTGAGTTTTGTTTCAAGTAGTTGTTTACTTCTTGCCCTAAAAGACAAATACAGAAAGGCTATGGTAATTACATTAGTCCTACTGCTTCCCGATAACCCATAAACAATATTTGTCAGTTGCTGTAAGTAGTTGGGTAACCTGAAATCAACAAATTTGTGGGAATAAAGCAGGACCAATATGATAATTCTATATTCCACGTTGTCATTGATTAACAGTAGCGTGTTAACACAGGCGCCGCTGTGAGAGTCTTTGGTTCTCAGCAAAAGAAAGGATCTTCATTTAAACCTGAAGTACTGAAGCAGCACAAGTATGTTCTATTAGAGCACTGCTACACCTTCTCTTATATCCCATCTCAATGTGACTGAAGCTGTACGTATTTTATTTCCACACATATATGTGGTTTGTAAGCCAACTTGGACTCTGATAGATGGAAGACTCCATTTAAATGCAGCTCTGCCACAAGACAGTGAATCTCCACTAAACTAGACTTTCAGGGCCTGTTTGTTTTAATCCCACCCTTCTTCTCATCCAAGAGAGAGAGTTTAGATCCAAAGATAAAGGCAAAGAGATCCCTGTTAGAAGCCCAAAGTAGAAAGCAGGGCTGAGCTGGAATGTCAAAACTTTATCTTTGGTTCTGCATCAGAGAACTTGGCATACAGGGCTGTCTCAATACCACTGGTAGTTATAACATGGTCTTGTAAGGGATCAGCCTGCATAAGCCTGGGATGATAAATGCTTCTGACCCATAGCATAGAAAGGTGTAGTAAAGAACATATGGGAAGGTAAAAGCTCCGCCTTTAAATGCTTACTGGGTCCAGGACACAAGATATTGCATAGCGCCAGTTGGATAATAAATTATACAATGCAAACTAATTAAACCAAAATAATGAAAAACTATTCTGAACTGAGTTAAACTCTAACACGAGACACAAGAGAACCATCTGTGCTGCCAGAGAACCTCCAAAGAGGGATGGACAGGTGTCAGCAAGAAATCACTAGAGATGTCCCAAGGTAGACCATGCTCCTTGTGAATTGCAGCCCCAGCTTAGGGGTAGAATTTAAGGTCCTGTTGATACTACCAGTGTGCTGGGATATGTGATGGGGTTTTGGTAGCAGGGGAGAGGCTACAGAGATAGCCACTATAAGAAGCTGTGAGAAGCTTCCCTGACTCCAAAATCAGTCGGATGGGCCTCTGGCCAGGCCGGGCCACACCTCCCTCTGGCCAGGGATGAGCCAGTCAGCACCTCTGCAAATGCCATATTTTCAAAGGAGCCTGAACTGAGGCTGGACCTGCAGTGAAGAGAAGGGAGAGGCAGGAGGCAGGGGGCTGGCCACTTGGCCTTCTGGACAGGGGGCTGACCCCACTGGGCTACTGCCCCCCAACTGGAGAATGACCTTGCAGTGCAGGCGCCCTTCGCTCCGGGGGCACCCACTAGGCAGAGTTCATCCTGCCGGGACTGCCGAGGTTTGTCGGGCCCAGCACGGCTGCAGCAGAGAGGACTGAGACGTGAGAGAAATGGCTACACAGACACTGAGGACAGTGAAGATAGAGCGAGAGGAGGTGTGCCGGAGCTGAGATTCCCCTACAGCCCATGGTGAGATGGCAGGCGGCCCCCCTGCTGCCCGTGGAGATTAATGGTGAAGCAGAGACCCACCCAGAGCCCGTGGAGAAGCCCACACTAGAGCAGAGATGCCTGTGCCTAAGGGAAGTCGTAGATTGTCTCCGTGGGAACGACCCCATGCTGCTGGATACTGATGACAAGGCAGAGAGGTATCTTAAGTCAGTGGGGGACCCCATGCCAGAACGGGTGGCTGTGCCCTAAGAAGCCATGACTCTGTGCAAAAAGCCCGTGCTGGAGCAATCTGATGGGTAAGAATTGCATCCTGCAGGAAGGACTCACATTGGAGAAGTCTGTGGGCTATGTCCCGTGATGAGAGACTACAATGGTAGCAGCGGGAAAAGGGCAAGAAGCCCTCTCCCTTTAGGAAAGGATCAGCAGCAATAACATGTGACGAACTGATTGGAACCCCTCCCCATTCCCTGTCCCCCTGCTGCTGGGGGAGGAGGTAGAGCTGGGAAGAAGGGAGGGATGGGGTGGAGGTGTTTTTAAGATCTGGCTTTGTTATCCTCTCTGAATGAACTGTTAATGAATCAAATTGATTTGTCCCCAAGACAAGTCTGTTTTGCCTGGGGCCATGGCTGGTGGGTGATCCCTCCCTGTTCTCACCTTTACCCTCAGGCCTTCTGTGACAATTTTCTCCACCTCGCCAAGGGGGAGGAGTGAGTGAGCGACCGCCTGGTAGCTTAGCTGCCAACTGGGCTAAACCACGACAACCAGAAACCCTGAAATTATGCTAGCAAGAACAGTCAAACAGTTTCCTTAATTTGGGAAGCTTGTATTAATTTGTCTGGTATGACCAATTAGCATTGTCTCCTCTGAGATGGACTGATGGCCTCAACTATGGCAACTAGTCCTTTCTACTGCGGACTAGACTAAAGTCTAAAGATGGGGCAGTCATTGGCATTTATCTCATCAATGCAATAACTTTTAACTAGAAGGTTAAACATGCACAGAAATGCTTTCAGATACAAGGCAAACAGGAAGTGTATATATAACCACCTCTTCTAACCCAACTCTCTTCCTCTGGCCAAATATGTGAACCACAAGATAACATTCACTTGCACTGGTATTTGCCTTGTAGCATTGGAACACAACCACCCTGGCGGGGTGAGAGCTTCACAAATATAACACACCTACAGAAAAAGTTTGTTAGTGTACAAGTAAGGGAACATCACAACATATCCAACAAAACTGAAAAATTAAATAGTATTTTAGTGGCCAAAACACACATAACTGTCATGCTTATGGTAAACTGAGTGGTTTGGGAAATAAGTATTTGTATCCTTTCTCCCCTCCCCAAGTTTATTTACTTTTCAGTTTCTCAGTCCTGTGCCGGTGCTCCCACTAATTGCTTAGGACCTCTTATAAACAGAAGCAGGGAAAAAGAAAACAAACTCTAAAAGTAGCAAGAGGATTGGAAAAGCTGCTAACATTAACTAATAGAAACCAATGTAACGTCTGAAAGGAGCCTAAGCTTGTTCTTAAAGGGAATGGCTTTCAAATGGGCTGCATACCATTAACATTGCTTGTTACTTGATGGTTGTTGAGCAATCGTGACTTAAGACATCAGCTACAGGTCTCTTACCTTTGGAGGCTTGAAAGGATATTCTGGTGTAAATGTGATGTCAAGGAAGAAAACACCTCCCTCATAGACCGAGCCTGGAGGTCCTAGAATGGTTGATCTCCATTCATAGATATTATCACCTTTGGGGCCAGCACTAAGAGATAAGAAAACAACTGGTTTAGGAATATTACCACAGTTCAAATAAATACGACCTCTTACATTCTTCGAGTATGATATGGAATAAATTTCCCAGTGTTATACTTCTTATAACACCTGAAGTAAAGACAGGGATTAATAACAAATCGAGTGCTTCCAAAATCTCAGAGATCTTACTCAGACTTATCAGTGTTCCAGACTGCTTAGCAAAGCTGAGAAACTAGAGGTGGCGTATGGTTTTCAGCTTCCCTCTCCTGATGTTTATAGGAGCAGCATTGCCCAGAGCTACTCCTAAACATGCTACACGATCTCAACGCAACAGAAAATTGAAGTTTCAAAGAACAAATGCCTACTGTATTTAAAAAATGGCTCTTCCAACTCAGCCTTAATAAAACTGTACCACACCAAAGACCATACTAAATAAATTGACTTACGTTGATTTTATTAATCTTGTATGTTCTTTAAAATTAAAATATATTCCTGTACTATTGCTAAACCAAGGCTCATGGTATAATCGAAGGAAGTCAAATACACGATGATATTCTTAGATGTGAAGATTTTCTACACTTTCATAATTTTGCTACACTGATTTCTACAACAAAGCCGCATGAACTCATCTCATCGATATCGTTTGTATTGTGGAACTGCTTTCATAAAGGGAACTAAAGTCACTGCGTCAAATTAAAACAATGCTTTCTCAAATCAGCTTTGTCTAATTCTGGATTCTCCCTGACCTGCCAGCAGCTCACCAAGAGCAGTACAAACTAAAGGTGTTGGAGAACACAAATGTCTGCTTGCTGAAAAGTAGTTCTACTGAGATCCTTAGACACTTGTATTCTGTAGCGTGCCATATGTTACTGAGTGTTTCTAAGTGCAGCTCAACCTATAAAGCCATTAATGGTTCAGGATTCCATTGCTACCTCTCTCTTTCTGTGCTGCTATGGTAGCATTTTATCTGTAAGACCAGAGCTGAAAATTCCCTTTGCATAAAGGGAGGTGCTGACACAGCTTTTTCCATCATGGATGTGCCATGACTTTGAAAATCTCTTCTTCCCTTGTTCCGTAAGGGGCTGGATGTTAACATTCCTAATACAATGAAAACCAGCCTTACTCTTCTTTCCCCATTGTTTTAACAAGGCTAATATAAAACAAAGATAAAAAAAGGCTCTTTTCATATTATAACAATTGTGGAGCAGTATTACTTGAGAGGGAAGGCAATACAATAAATTTAATATATGCATGACTATATGCATTTGATGAATGTGAAGGGAATCAGGGCAATTGCTAGGTGTTAGTAATGGTGTTACAAATAGAAATACAATTATGAAAATATAAATTCTCAACGTAACAACAGTGATCAGAGACATGATTTTTTCCCCTGCTCTGTAGTACTGGTGAACAGGTAGAACTGGTGACAGCAGAGGAATCAGGAGAGAGAAAGGAGTTAGTTCTGTTATCAAATCTAAAATTTTATTTTCAGATTAAACTAAAAATAAAAAGTTCACAGTATATTGGTGCCAAATAGCTCAACAATAGCAAAGCTATGACTAAAAGCCTGCTTCCAGGGGAAGGAAAGCATGTAAGAAGGTAGTAAAGGGAGACGGGTTCTCTGCAAAGCCATGCACCAGCCACCAGGGAAAGATTTCTCTCCTCAGAACACAAAAGCCCACACAGCTCAAGATCAGTATTAAATTAAAGTAAAAGCCATTCCATCCTGAACACTCCTGGCATCCCGCTCCACCTTAATGACTTGTCCCTGTCCTATGCAGGTCTATATATTTGGGCACTCAGTAGTCTCCAGCTACCGCTTGTGCACTAGACTGGAAGAGCGCTATATTTCGACAGGAAGCTCTACCTCTTGAAAGACACCAGCTTAACTGTGCAAACTTACTGAAAAGGACTCTCTGGGGCACCCTTAGCCACCACTCCAAGGAATCGCCTCTTTATGTACGTATTAGCAACCTACTGACACACTGTCATTACTGCAAGGTGCACTGGCGATCATCCTCCCCTAAAGATGGAGCTACTGAATGGAACAGGTACTTGAGCTTTGTTAGCACCGATTTACTGTTGGAATTTATATCAAGAGAACTGCCCACTGGGAGCACTTCAGCACTCAAGAAATGTGATGTGCGATTAGCACTGAATACAGCCCTCTGAACCAACGAGAAATATTTCAACATTTTGCATTTTATTTCCAGCTTCAACCCAAAGGACTGACAATAAAAAAATCTCACAGACTTAAAAACCAATATATTATTATTTGTAATAGTCTTAGAAATCTCTTGTATCCTATTAGGTTTCCAATTAGAGCTATCACTGCATGCAAATAATATACTGCTAGACCTCTATATTAAAAGAGTGCAATATCTTTGTAAGATGTCAGTAGACTTTAACAGTGATGCACTAGCTTACCTTTTAAGCTTTCCATAGTTCAATTAACAGTGAAATAAATGCAGATGTCCAATGTTTACACATTAACATTGATTTCTTATAAAGGAAAGACCGGAAGAGGAAGATGCAAGCCAGCTTCAGAATGCAATATCGCTCAGATTTAAATTAGGATTAGGTAATATCAAGCAGCTCAAGAAGACCTAGCGCTTAATAGAAAAGCGACGATACTAGACGACAGCGTAAGTGCAGCAGCATGAACTTTTGGTGGAGATACAAAAACTGTCAAAGGTTAAACGTTCACTATTTGTTTTAAATCCTTGCAATTATCTGCTTCAAAAAGAAATTCATTGATTCAGAGACACAGGGCTCACAGGCACAGTTGCCACCTTGCCTGATGTGTGTCACCACTGCTCACAGTATCTAGATCTACTAACACAACATTTTCAAGCAATATATGACCACTGGGAAGACAATTTTAACCAATTAAATAGAAATTGTTTCCACTGCAAGACAAGAGTATGAGAGTAACAGCTTTCTGTATTGAACTCAATAGCCCACATTCTCTTCACTTCCAAAGAAAGAAATGAGACAAAAGACCAGTAATGCAGAGTGAAAGATGACATCCAAAAGAAAACTGAAACCAAAAGAAAACCCAACCCATCATTATCACATCAGGCTGCATGTGTTACACAGCAGTGCCAACTGAGATCTCTCTTCTCTGGAAAAAGAGTGCTATACTCAGTGAAGATGCATTGCACTCACTGTAATAACTGCTTCTGATAACTCCCAAGTTGCTGCTAGCTTATCCTCTGGGCAGATGTTATGACAGTAACACCCAGTACCAAGGCAGTTTAGTTCACAGGCTCCCTACCTTTCCCAGTCTAGAAGCAGCAGTCAGAATCGTGCTGGCAAAGGCAAGGCAGAGAGAAAGTCTGAGCACAGGCGAGACCAAGCTCAAAGTTCTGCCTGGGCCAAGTCCCAACCAGCTTAGTGTTGCTTTGGAAAACCTCATCTTGTCCTGCCTCTCTTTACTGGAAGGCGTCAAATTCTTTCTCGATTTAAAAGTCAAATTGGTAAATTAGAAACACCCGCAGCAGAGGCTGGGGAGCAGAGTGATGCCCAGGTAAACCCCCTGCATGCTCAGATGCTTTGCAGTACTGAGCAATTGTAAACGTAGGACTGTCTGAGAGATTAAGTGTTCATACAGAAGACACACACACCCCTTTTCATGTATTGAAAAGGCTGAAATGACAGACAGTCTGCAAGAACAGCCATGCCAGCCTGTGGCTTTTTCATTTTAAGCCAGCCAGACACAACCTCCACCTCAGGCATACGTTACGTGGTACCACTCTGATAGTTTTGGTGCACAAACTCAGTTCCCTCTTCTGCCCGGGCACCCCTGGGCAAATCACTCAAAGTATGCCTGTGCCACAGAGGGAAGGCAGGATTTTTTGGCATTCACCACATAGAGCTAACATATGAAAATCCCTGGGAACACACTGCTGGTACTTTCCAGGAGAATGACTCAGAGTCCACTGCTAGTACATTTGGAAACTATCTGGTCCTTTCTAGGAGTTGACCAAATGATAACATAAGCATTTCCTCTAGTGAAAATATAGCCCAGTGAATACTTCAGTTCCTCTTCTTTGAGATATGGAAAGGATGCGATAGCAGGTCACTGCAGTGATAAATGAATCAAGAATTAGTTGATGCTACAGACACTAGGTTAATACCCAGCTATACCAAAAAGGCATATTATTCCTATCAAAAGCTAACTAATTTAGCAGAGTAGTTGAAAAATGCCAGAGATGGCTATCTGCCAGGGTGGTGAGAAGAAGGGCAATTTCATGGTATGTTGAAGTAAATAACAGCTAATGAAAAACTACAGTATGTTTCAGTTAAAACCTCAAGTAACAAAGCCATGAACTCATACTCCAACTACTCCATATCCCTAGATTCTATTTTTGAGGCTATTTTGCCCTGCACAGGAAGAGTTTGATGCAAGTAGCTAAGCTGTTTTAAAGTTGCACACTTGTGGAAAACAAATATGATTTCCAAAAACACTGTAGACATGACCTTTTCCAAGGGACATAGCTCAAATCGGAAAGCAACAACATACCAACGGCACATGGGAATTCCAAGGTGGCAGAGAATCTAGTGATCTCCAGTATAAAGCCTCACCATTACAAACTGATAGCAATGTCAATTTTTTGTTTCTTTATTTTTTAGTAAGAAACAGTGAATGACTGAACATGGAATTGCGTCTTGGACATGTACACATCACCTTACTATGCAGCTTTAAGAAATATTTAGTTGACTATTAGGAGGTTTCTTTTTTCTCCCTTTTTCTTTCCTTTTTTATTTTTTTTTTTTAAAGATGCAAGGCCAAAATGCATTAGAAATTTTGACTGACAGAGAAGCAGCATATCATTCTCATATGAATTTCTGGTGCACATTCATTTTCCCTCCTAATCCACCCCATTCCTGACCTCAGGGTAAATATCTTTCTTTTCTGGTAGTCCACCAAGTGGGTCCACGCTGAACTTGCTCACCCACATTGTTAGGCTTAATCTGGTGCAGAAGTTGCAAAAGTACCCCAGAAGT